GGCCCCAGCCACTGCTGAAATTGATCAGTTTAAACCGCGGCTGAATCTGGATGCCAGTTCTGACTTACATACAGATTCATCTTAAGAAACCCAGGCGTCCCCAAGTCAGCTGCTGCTGAAACTGATCAGCGGCTGATTCCAGGATCAGCTTCCTGTAGTCAGCTTCCTGTAGTCAGCCTCTGGTCAGTTTCAGCAGCAGCTGAATCTGGACGCCAGTTCCGACTTACATACAAATTCAACTTAAGAACAAACCTACAGTCCCTATCTTGTACATAACCCGGGGACTGCCTGTACAGGAAACTCTGAAGTATTTTGAAAAAAAAAAAATTCACTGGCTTCGCCTATAGAAAAATGCGAGGCAAATAGTTCTCAACCTTTTGATTTGATTTGAACTCTTTGTAATTAAAATAGAATTATAACTGATCATGGGCTATACATTTTCAAAACACAATCATGGACATCATCAACCTCATTTTTATACTGAAAATAAAGGAACAGGATTGAGTAATTTAACCATTTGCTGATGCTACATGAGTAAAATCTCTTTAAAGAGCAGTTGCCTTTTGATCTGGAGACATGCTTGCCACACATAGAAATATCTCAGAAATCCATGGTCCCTGGTTATGATAAATATCAGTAATATAAGCCTTCTGGTAAAATGCACATCTTATATTTCAATTCATTTATGTAAACAATGACAACATACCAAGCTATGGAGTTGTATCATATGCATCAGATTTATGAAACAAAATTGGTATTCCTGCATAATTTCACTTTCTCAAGTCAATTTTTATTGTTCTACAATGGTGGAGCACATACTTTTCCTTTCACCCTTCCCCCCCAGTAATGGAATCTGTCTGCACCTATCCTCCATTCATAGTGTGGACTCTTTGGATAAAAAATTAGCAGTTGCTTAGCACCCACCAAAACCCAAGTGCCTCACACCAGCTAAACAATGAGAAGTCCTCTGGTACCTTACAGACTAACAGATTTATTGGAGCATAAGCTTTCGTGAGCAAAGACCCACTTCGTCAGATGCATGTAGTGGAAATTCCAGAGGCAGGGGTAAATATACAGACAAATGAAAAGAGTACCAATCAAGAGTAAGGCTAGAGATAACGAGGTCAATTCAGTAAGGGAGGATGAGGTCCACTTCTAGCGCTGATGTGGAGGTCTGAACACCAAGAGAGGAGAAACTGCTTTTGTTGTTGGCCTTTAAAATGCGATTGTACCTTAGTGCTTAAGCATTTGCTCCAACCCCTCAGACAGAGACAAACACCTACAAGATCTTCCCCAAGCATTTTTAAAACTACAGTACCCTCCAGAGGAAGTGAGGAAACAGATTGACAGAGCCAGATGTATATCCAGAAGCCTACAAGACTGGACCAACAAAGAAAATAACAGAACACCGCTAGCCATCACCTACAGTCCTCAGCTAAAACCTCTCCAACGCCTCATCAGTGATCTATAACCCACCCTGGACAATGATCCCTCATTTTCACAGACCTTAGGAGGCAGGCCAGTCCACACCCACAGATAGCCCATCAATCTGAAGCAAACTCTCACCAGCAACTATACACCACACCACAGTAACTCTAATTCAGGAACCAATCCCTGCAACAAACCTCAGTGCCAACTCTGCCCACATATTTACACCAGTGACACCATCACAGGACCTAACCACATCAGCCACACCATCATGGGCTCATTCACCTGCACATATACCAATGTAATATATGCCATCATGTGCCAACAATGCCCCTCTGCCATATACATCGGCCAAACTGGACAGTCCCTACGTAAAAGAATAAATGGACACAAATCAAATATCAGGAATGGTAACACACAAAAATCTGTAGGAGAACACTTCAGTCTTCCTGGTAACACACAGTAGCAGATTTTAAAAAACTTCAAAAACAGACTTCAAAGAGAAACTGCAGAGCTACAATTCATTTGCAAATTGTCTACACTACAGTGTTATTTCGAAATAGCTTATTTTGAAATAACGCGTCTACACACAAAATGCATTTCGAAATAGCATTTTACTATTTTGAAATACTGCATCCACACTGAGTGGACTCTGCATCACATTTAAGGCTGGCCGGAACCAGTTCCGGCAGGGCACCAGGTCAGGACTTACTGTGTGGGGCTGCTGCCTGAGGCTATGTGAGGTCTGTGCTTAAAGGGACCCCCCTGGAGAGCCAGTTCTCAGGTTTCCCTGCTTGCTTGTCTACCTTGATGAGGGACAGCAAAGCATTTTGTCTCTGCATGCTCTGGTTGCCCTCACTCAGGACATCACAGCACTCTGCAGCATGGAGCCAGAGTTGCCCCTGGGCACTCTGGTGCTTCTCTTGGATGTGTTGCTGCAAGCCTGGCTGCACTTTCTGCAGGCTGCCATCCAGGAGGTCCATCAGGGGGCTGTCAGTATCTAGGAGGCCCTGAGGGAGAGCTTCCACCCTGAGAAGCACTAAGAGCCTCCCTGGTGTGCCCCACTGGGGGCTTGTGCCTCATTCCTCCCTCATGTCTTTCCACTTACCCCTCCCTAACCCCCTTCCTGATGTAAAATAAAATACACATATTTTCATGAACACAAACTCTCTTTATTTAACAAAACTGGGGGGGAGGGAATGAAACTCTGGTGAGACTGGGGAAAGGAGGTGGGAGAGGGGAAGAGAGAGGGTGGAAGAGAGAGGGTGGGAGAGGGGAGGAGGAAACCTGGGAGGAGGGAGCTGGAAGGGGGAAGCAAGGGAAAAAAAGGGGAGGGGAAGCTCAGGGTTGGGGGTCTCGCCGGACCAACTTGATTTTCATGCAAACCTGCTCCTGGGTTCGCATATGGCCTTTGGTGGCCAGGCTGGCAGCTAACCCGC